GAAATTCCGCAGTCCATACAAAAAGATCGACGACTTATTGAAGAAAGCAACGTTGTGCATCGTCAGGACTCTTCATGATCATTTTGTCTTTGTGTGTGATGTGAAATCATCATCATCATTGGTGTTTTTGGTGTATGACGAAAAGGCACACACACACACACACAGAGATGCACGCTTGTTACATACATCGAACTGTTGTCTGTGTAAATCTCGCATTTGTGCTACGGTAGTAATGAGAAGCTAAACACAGATTTTTGTGTGATGAGTTTATTTTATGCGATGGTTTGAAAACAGATAGAGATGAAAAATTGAGAAGTGTAACGAATTGGAAAAGTCATGTCCTCCAACTCTTATTGGTGAAATATGACTCACTATTTACAGTCCTATGGTAGCTAGTAACACACACACGCTAAGTGTTTCTTTATGATCGTTTAGCCCAAAGTACATCTGCTTGCTTGGAACCAGACTTCTTTTTAAAGCCCCCTAGTTGAATCCTCTGTAGCCACCAACCTGGTCTCATCTCTGGACGTTCACTTTTCATCTCATCAACTTCCTAAAAAACATTGGTCTCACAAAAATGTAGTGAGTAGGACTTCATGGACAATGGTTGTCTATGTATGGGAATATGATAATATTCTTGAGAGGAATAGTGAACCATTTGCACTCGAACATGTTCCAGGGTATTTCGGGGGTTAATTTCTTGTGACCTAATTCTTACCGTCAACAAAATATGTTTATTGAATTACAGATTTTCTCCAATATAGAACATAATCTTTCTAACACAGCTATTACTTGAGATTGTTTTATTACGGTTTGGAAGAGAACAAGTCCTAGTGATCACTGAATCGTAATCAATGTCATATTTATGAGTACTTACGTGCTTAGTCGAATTCTATTTCATCAGGAAAATAGGTAATTCAATGTACTGTAATAAGGTGAGACGTTAGTAAAATCAATTTAGTTTGCAGTAAACCTTAGATCTGGGTTTACAGCTCGTTAGCACAGTAACAATACAGTACTAGTGTAGTGTATACTACTTGCAATATAGCTTATAAGTAGTATGCAGCGGCTTTTCTCTCAGAAGTTACTAACCAACAGTAGAGTATCGGGCCTAGATGTATGCCGCAAGAATAAATCGCAAATTTCATAATGTCCATCACACACACCATATAACTCAATCGAAATTAAGAATACCTTTCGAGTTTTTAAAAATTAGATTCCATACAAACGATTTGTGGAAGTACTTTGGTAAGGTGCATGGAAAGTTCGTGATCATTTAGTTTAAAGTAAAACGATAACATCAAACATATGAAGTGCCTAATTCCATACATATATATATATATATATATATATATATATATATATATCAACAGTTGACATAACATGTCAATTATTCATTTTCTGTTTCAAACCAATTTGTTTGTAGTAGGATCACAAGGAACTCAATAGGTTGTAGGTTTTCTGAATGATAAGTAGGTGAAACGAGATGAAGTCTGATATGTTCGTCACTAGGTACGCTTGAAGCTATGACGAGTTTACCTTAGTAGATAAACGCGAACGAGACAATGAACCAGCGTCTAGATAGGCTACCTTGAATACCGAGCTGAAGATAGAAGGCTTGGTAAGCGTAGAAAGTATATTGTACAAACACACAGCAATCACACAATACAATCAAGCACACAAATCTCGTTTTTTTTATACATCATAGAAACGTCCTTGGGACAGTTACGAAAATAGCACACTAAAATACACAGCTATGAATTTTCTTGGTAGGAAATGAAATTTCAAGGTCAACTGATCAGCCCATGCTCGCAAACGTGAAATCCAAAATAAGACATTTATCAAGCGAGTTCTGGAGATCTAATATCGAAATGCTGAAATATAGAATGAGTTTCATACATGACTTATCTTTATAGTGATGTAATAAGAAAGATGTGTCTTCTCCGTTGACCTCAACTTCATCACTCCTTAGAGAAAATGTATTGATGAAGAATTAGTAGGCAACAATGAATTTCATATCAAACTATGCAAAGTATTCAGAAATAACCCAGTAGACTAGACAAATACTTGTTAAAAGTAATAGAGGGTTGGGTAGCTAGTGATATTTCTATAAAATTAATGTCGAAAAACTGTTGATATTCCAGGGTAGATAATTCTAAGTTGTGAGATCACTAAAATCGGACAGGTTCCATGAGTTCTACAATGATTTACACTTAACTCATACTGTATCATTGTAAATTGACAGTATATGGCTTCCAAAGCACATAAACATCTCAACGATTACTCATCCTCTTCCCCATACAATACTATATTTCCGTCACTGACAACGAATATCTTGACACTTGAATGAACTGTTCTTCCACCGATTCGATTCTCTAAGCAGTATCAAAGAGCACTGAAATCATAGATATATATTCACTTAGATGGTTAAAATTCAATTTAATCTCTTACAGAATTAAGTTATTTGTAAAACTCAATCATTTCTGTCTAGTTTATGCTCTTGCGAGTTAATATCGATCCTCAGTGATGAGCATAGTAGATGTAGCAAAAAGAATGACTAGTTCGCTGTGACCCAACTCACGTTTCATTGGTCTTCTTTCACTGCCAGATTCAAGCACTTGCTTAACACTGAACTCATCGATAATATACTTTCATTCTGTTTAATATTTCAGAGAACTAACTCTTCCTGGAGCCGCTGCGTGGCTACAGCCACTCCAGAGCTAGGATAAAGCAGGAAGATTGGGCGTGGCGTTGGCGACCTAATCCCTCAGAACTATAACTCGCTAAAAACGATGCTAACCAGTCAAACTAATTCACACTCTACCCTGGAAGGTAAAAAGTCTGCATTTGAAGAAGAGTTATGACATCATGAGGCAAACACCCTTTATAACAGACAAGCAGAGCAAACATTCATTTAGGTGCATCGAATGTTCGCACAATATTATACTATGTAGGTAGATAGAACCAAACCACCATCAAAACATCTTGCAAGTTGATTCACTCATGAATATTGAATTCAAATTTTAGCGCCAAAATCAATTGGGAAATCTATTGACTAATCTATGTGATGAGTTTTAAGTTAAGATTAATAAACATTTTTCAAAAATTTTATATACTATTATCAGATAATAATAGTAGTAGTGTAGTGAACGAGAACCCAGGTGAGGGCAACCGAATTGTAATTAAACGAAATTACAGAGTTACTCAGTAAAATCATCGGAACACCATATTGCGTAAATCGTTTATTTGCAAAATATCAGTTCATCATATCGAACTGGACTGTTCCTGTTGCAAAACATCAATCCATTGTCACTATTCATGCGTTTCATACAAATTCCATTGTGTTCCCCTCACTCTTCCTTTCTTGATCTTCCCCCATCGTCTTCTGCTGCCAGACATTACGTTGACACTCACGTCATATACTACTTACAAGTATTGACATTTGAAGTTAGTGTTTAAACAGGTATATTTGAAAGGTTATTTGAATGCTCATTTTACTAGAAAAAATATTTCCGTTTTCAGTATGTACACTAGTTTGTAGTTATTAAAGTCATGAACTCGCGGTTGTAACTAAAATAGTCATTAAAATTCACAGACTACTGAGTAAAAGTTCCGTTTGGGAATATTGCTCAGTATTTCATATTCATAATCCTATTTTGGATCGATCTTAGATGGTTCTCAGAGTTATTAGTCCACAAAATGAACTACTGACATAACTATCAAGCAGCATTAAACTCAGAATTTTCAATACGAATGCCAAAAAAGGACTACTGTATGGGGCAGAAACTTGGACAACCACAAGGATCATCATCCAGAAGATACAGGTGTTTATCTGCACCTGTTATCTGCGCAAAATACTCCGAATCCGCCGACCAGGCAAAATCAGAAACAACCAACTGTAGGAGAGAACAAATCGGATTCTAGCGGAGGAAGAAATCAGAAAGCTCCGGAATCGTATAGGACACACATTGAGGAAAACGCCCTCATAAGACAAGCTGTCACCTGGAATCCTCAAGGCCAACGGTAAAGAGGAAAGCCAAGCAACACATACACTGGGAAATAAAGACGGACATGAAAAAACTGAACAACCATTGGACAGAGCTGGAAAACAAGGCTCAAGACAGAGTACGCTAGATAATGCCGGTCATCGGCCTATGCTCTACTGGGGGTAACAGGAGTGTGTAAACAAATGAGTAAAATAAACTACCGACTCAACAATCTATGTTAGCCTCAAAATATACAAGTCTTTTAAGAATTATATTAGTATAACACATATATATGTATTAAGAAAGTGCTGAACACTTCCACTGTAGTGAACGAGAACACAGGTGGGTCAACCGAATTGTATTCAATGAAAATTACAGAGTTCCTCAGTAAAATCGGAAAACCATATCGTGAATCGTGAATTTGCAAAATATCAGTTCATCATATCGAACTGGACTGTTCCTGTTGCCGAAACATCAATCCATTGTCTGACTTTTCACTGTTCATGCGTTTCGTACAAATTCCATTGTGTTCCCCCCCACTCTTCCTTTCTTGATCTTCCCCCATCCTCTTCTGCTGCCAGACATTACGTTGACACTCATGTCATACACTACTTATAAGTAGCTCACACCACAGTAGTAATAATCGTAGTAAAACGTTTCAGTCAACTCATAAAAGATGAACGATAGTACTATCCACTTGTACTTTTGCCTATTATTATATGTAGTGACGTAATCTCTATTTTATTTCATTGTGATTATTGACTCACAAATCGCCTTGATTGGTTTTAACATTTTCATATAACTATTCATGTATATTAGAGCGTAAAGCCTGATGACGATCTAATCGAAAACAACAGTATTATTCGCTTATATGTGTTGTTCAAATTCATTGGGTCACATTTGATACCCTTCGTCATATGTCCTAAAACGATGAATTATAATTGATTGATCGACCAAGAAATGACCTCTAAGTGGATGAACTTTTATTGTATTTCATCCACACTAATGCCTTTTCTCGCTTCATATAAGTCAGTTTTCTATGAATTAAGCGTATATATCACACACTCACACAGAGACAAACATTCAACTCTCCAACATCATGCATCATCAATAAACACAAAAAAGGTTACAAAAAAATGTTCATTCACCAATATCGATTTTACCATGTTAGTAAGAAGACATATACACAATAAAACAAGAACAAATAAGGCTTGACTCTCTCCTTTTCTATTACAGACTTAGAAATGAATTCATGTTAATACTATGTAGATTATATATGAAAAACTAATATGAATCATGAAAGTGTTTTAACGTTGTTTTAATTCGTTGGCAAAAATCAATAATTCATTTGAATGTCCGATATTTCATTGGTGTTGTCAGCACTGTTGTTGTAGGTTTCGGTGGTGGCTTTTTATTAATCAACCGTAAACGATATTGACGATAATCTTCTTGGGCTTGTTTACGTAAACTCACTATTGGTACAGTATATTTCGGTCGACTCCATGGAGAAAAATCAACTGGTCTTATATTATTTGGAGTCATATTATCAGTCCATAAATTTTCATTACAATTACATTTTAATTCAATTGGTACCAGTAGTGTACTGAATGGATGAATGAGATTACGTCGATTATCATTGTTATGATGTATTGGACATGTATTCCATAATGATTTAGTATATGCATTCTGTTTAGCATAATATTGTTTTAATTGATGTATATGTTGAAATTTTTCTGCATCGATTTCATTCATCTGGTGGTAATGTTGAAATTGTAAACGTTTTATTGGTAAATTCAATTGTTTCAATCGTTCACATTCATAAACATACCAACGATTCATGTTGAATAGAGTTGGTTTTGTAGAATTTTCAATCATATCATTAAATGACATGAATTAATGATTGAAATTAGGATCCAATCTGAAATTTTCTGGTTTTTTTTCGCGAACAAATCTAATCTTCCGCGTTATTGGGTTTTAAACAAAACAATAGCAGAGCAGCACTCCAATGGCTGCTGACCTTGAAACACAATGAGAAAACCCACCAATCAAATGATGAGGTAAGTGAATACACACAGAAAAAAAAAATTGAAACTTTATAGCATTGATTGTGAAACAGAAAAAAAATTAAACAAAGAATATAATCATTTGACTTTGATCATTATTTAATTAATTATCTATCTATCTATCCATAGGAAGAAGGAACAATGGAATTGAACACATTGAACAGAAATCAATTTTTTCGCATTTGAGTTGGGTGTTTTTTGTTTCAAACAAAATAATAAAGTACAAACTTAAAATAATATGATCACATGAAAGAGAAAATAAATGTAGTTGATGTCTATTCTATTATGTTCTGACTAATAATTGATGATTGTTTAAGGAAAAAGATTAGAATGTGTAGTATTCACACTTATTTTCGTTTGTTGTTCATTGAAACATTGAATATATCTGTCTCACGGTTACCGGTTTTCCAGTTTGTTACTGAAAATGATCTCATTACTTGATGATTAGTTGATATCTGTATGAAACCCTGATATGAAGAAATCAGAGTAGTCAACTACTATGCAGTGTGTAAAAAAAAACGCAAAACCTCCAAAAAACTGTGCCCCAATATATCGTAACAGTGCTCACTAGTGATGACTAGCTTCGTGAGGAAATTCTCGGAGTTCTAGTTGAGAAGACGTGACCAATGGATGAGTTCAACCCTGTCGGGTGTAGGCAGTAACTACCAAAGACAAATGGGTGAGGTCGCGCAAAATCCCTAGATCAATCAGAGTTAGACATTAACACCGTTGGATGCCGGCCCAGTGGTCCGATGGTAAGGCGTTCGCCTACAATGCCGAAGGTCCCGGGTTCGGATCCTTCGAGGAGCAGGAGTCGTGGATGCGCACTGCTGAGGAGTCCCATACTAGGACGAAACGGCCGTCCAGTGCTTCTTGCAGGTTTCTAATGGTGGTCTAACAATGATGATTGATTAATGATTTCAAATGTGTAAAAAAAACGCAGTTGAGTTTGTTTCAACGTAAAACCAATATTACAAACCTAGAAGCACTGAAATAGCGTTAAGTACTAGTTTGGGACTTATTAGTATTGTGCATCTATCACTCACTGCATTCGTGGGACTCGAACCTAAGGGACTTCTTCTTCGAGTGTCAATGCCTAGCCTCTAGACTAACCTGATACTTGACAACTCGGTGCTAACTAACAAGTTTTAGAGTGATTTGAGTGGGATACAATTTTTTGTCAATCGTAAGTTTGATTTAAGTATGTAAAATCAGTACTTAACCATATTCATATAAAGAATCTTCATTTTCGGCTTGGACTGTCAGTGTGAGATCACTGATATTAAAAGTGGCTATTTATCTGTTTCGAATAAATCTCTCAATAATTCCTTGCAAAAAATTTCAATGTCTGGAAACAAATTGCTGAAAGTACTTCGAGTGACCAGCATGATTTAGAAAAAGTTTCTGGACATCTTCGGAAAACGTGGGATAAATATTTCATCATTTGAACGAAGTGAATCAGGTTTGTTACTCACTTAAAAATTACAATTCAGAAACATTGAAAGCTAACCATTATCTTTAATCCTTATTTGTTTCTCAAACTAATCTTGTAAGAGAAAAGCTTCTCCCAATTCGTACTTGTCAGTCATGTTTAATTCTCTGTTTTAAAATAGTTTAAGCATTAAAAAGCCAAATGTGTAGGGTTTTCAAGTACAAAACATTATCGAATCACATCCGAATTACACTTACCTCATAGTAGTTCAATGTTCAAAATTAATTTTTTTGACTAAACATCATGATGTTTGAACGAAGTGACTGATTCGAAATTTACGTGCAAACGATATATTCATAAAACAATCATTTCAGTTGATTTATTTTTCGCAACAAAAAGAATAAATTGGAAATTGAATACATTTTCACAATGTCTTCTTGTTTCGTTATCAGTCAGTTCGATGTCGAGGAATAATTGTTTTTTTTAAAAAAAAAAGATTACAACTCCTCCAAAATAATCAATACTGTAATTGATCTAACTGTTATGATGTGATATATAATGAGCCAATCAGAATTGATCAAATGAATTTCGGTCATTTGATATGACCATGAGAAAATGTCCTTAGGGAATGATGAATATTGGTCATTGGTCAACAAATGACTTTCTTTTCTAACGTGATAAAATAGAGATGTATATATGGACTTTATGTTTCCAGAGTAGAAGATATTCGTCGGTTAATGGCTTTCGATCATCAGTGTCTTCGAAGCATTGCTCGTATATCCTGGGACACCCGAATGAGCAACGCTGTTATTAGGAAACGGGTACTAGGTAAGAATGGCAGATCAATAGATGAAGTGGTGAAACTTCATCAGTTGAGGTGGTTGGGACATGTGCTGCGTATGCCTAACCACCGACTACCTCGTCGAGCTATGTTTTGTAGTGTTGGGATAGGTTGGAAGAAAGTTAGGGGCGGCCAGACCAAAACATGGCACAAATCCATTAAGTCATTGATAAGTGGACTGAGTCATGTTGGTAGTTGTCGACTACCTGGTTGGGGTCCGTGAGATGATAATAATGGATGGTTAGATACCCTGAATGACATGGCTCAAAACCGTTTGCAATGGCGCAGGTGCATTTATTCTTTGTGTTCTCTCAAATCCTAATCTTCTGGATTCTTCAACACCTCTAGTTTTGACTTTCGAAACTTTTCTCACTGAATCTTATTTCTTGAATAATATCTTCTAATCCTAACCTCTTCGATTACTTCTAATACCCTTACTACCTCTTCTACTATTGGATTTGAATTGACAATTACATCTCTCTGTGCTGATGTGGTATGGCAACATGAACTGATGTACTTAAGTACGAAGTTCTACGTTGCATCTGACTGACTGACTGAGAATTACTTTCGTGTTCTTGTAGTCAGTTTGTGAGGATTAGAGACATCGTATATCATATGAATATTACAAATCGTGAAAAACAGTTTTGAGTGAATACTCACCAATGCATTGACAAGATATTCTTGAAATCCCTAGTTCATTCAATCACTGATGATATCCTCTAACCATAAGAATTAACAGTCATGTATCCTTGTTTTGAATGAATAAACCAATTGATAAATACACATGGAAAATTTTCTCCAGTTTATCGGTAAATATAGAATGACTTTTTGAGATTTTTTCTTGACATCGACTGGATTATGAAAACGTCGACATCTGGAGGGAAGCACGGTATCAACTGGACAGTTAGGACGCAGCTGGACGATCTGGACTTCGCAGATGATGTAGCTCTTCTATCGCACACGCAACAACAAATGCAAGAGAAGACGACCAGTGTAGCAGCAGCCTCTGCAGCAGTAGGTCTCAACATACATAAAGGAAAAAGCAAAATTCTCCGATGCAACACAACATGCACCAACCAAATCATTCTTAATGGAGATGTCTTGAAGGACGTTAACACCTTTACATATTTGAGCAACATCATCGACAATCGAGGTGGATCGGATGCAGATGTGAGGATGCGAATCGGCAAAGCAGCGGCTGCGTTTCTACAGTTGAAAAATATCTGGAACTCCAAACAACTTTCAACCAAAACCGAAATCAGCATTTTCAATAGAAATATCAAGACAGTTCTACTGTATGGAGCGGAAACTTGGAGAACTACGAAAGCCATCATCCAGAAGATACAAGTATTTATTAACAGTTGTCTACGCAAAATACTTCGTATTCGTTGGCCAGACACCATCAGCACCAACCTACTGTGGGAGAGAACAAACCAGATTTGAGTGGAGGAGGAAATGAGGAAGAAGCGGTGGAAGTGGATAGGACACACACTACGAAAATCACCTAACTGCATCACGAGACAAACCCTCACATGGAACCCTCAAGGCAAAAGGAAAAGAGGAAGGCCAAAGAATACATTACGTCGAGAAATAGAGAAAGATATGAGAGGAATGAACAAACATTGGACAGAACTTGAGAGGGAAGCCCAGGACAGAGTTGGTTGGAGAAAATTGGTGAGCGGCCTATGCTCCATTGGGGGTAACAGGCGTAAGTAAGTAAGTGAGTTCTTGAGAAGATCATTTGCGGAGCTATTGTAATGAATATATATTGAGAAGGAATTGAGATATTATACTCTTATAACTGGATCTCTGTCAATAGAAACACAAACAATGAATCTGTATCTTTCATTTCAAAAATGAAATAAAATTTCCATGTAAAATTTGACAGAAGTAGTAACGATTTCTAGGAAAACAGTACAGTTAGTGTCCGAAAATAATCACTGACAAAAACTGTAAGTTAATATGGCGGCTAGTCGATGTGAATAGTTTTTCAGAGATATCGATGATGAATATAATTGGCTGGTCAACTCAAACAATGATCGGAATGTTTATTTTAAAAGTTGTATATAAGAATAATGTTTAGTGATTTTTGGAATGATTAAGTGGGTGAGCTTAGACCAGAATCCCTGCGGAGGAATTACATCAAGAAGCAGCGCTAGAGGTGGAGGACACGACACACATGGTGAAAATCTCTTAACTGTGTCAAAACAAGACGAGCTCTATCTTAGAATTTTCAAAAAAAAAAAGAGGAAAAGAGGTAGATCAAGGAATAAATACACTACGATGACAATCAGAAACAGACATGAAAAAAAGGGAATAGCGATTGGGTAGAAAGGAAGGCTCAAGACAGAGTAAGCTAGATAATTATGGTCGGCACCCTATGCTCCATTAAGGGTAACAAGTGTAAGTAAGAAAGTAAGTAGGCAAAGAGGAAATGACCACATGATTTCGAAATAATCAGTCAATAGAGATCTCATGTGAACTGAATGTATTTCTCACTAGAAGTAATGTACTATATTGACTTCATATATGATTATTAATTTGTATAGTAATTTACTGATATACTTGAAACTATTACGAGTTCACCTTAGTCGGTAAATAAATGATCCAGTGACACGATAGGCTATTCTGATTCGATTGTTCCCTGCCCAGCTAACGATATCAAAAAGTCTTGATATGACATAGAAAGTGTATTCTACAAGCACCATGAAAATATGAGGTATTCATGTACAAAAATTGAGTTTTAATTGTACATGATAGAAACGTCCTTGGGAAAGTCACAAAAACAGCATACTGAAATAACAAGTCAGCCAATGACAGTCAAGGATTTTCCGAGTGGGAAATGTAATGTCAAGGTCAACTGATCAGCCCATTAATAAAATCCAAAATTAGCACATTTAACAAGTGAGTTCTGGGGATCTAACGTCCTGAACATTTACTCACTTTCATAATTTATTCCTAAATTCTCATAACTATGAAGAATCGGCAAGAAAATTCATTGTCCCCATATATTTCTTCATAAATACAATTTTCTACAAGGATTGATGACTATAAAATCATAAGAGCAGAAACATCTTTGTCACTATATCGATAGGAAAACATCGATTGTGAAGCTTATTCTCTGTTTCAGCATTTCGACTTCTTTATCTCACCATTTATTGACTAATGGATTATAATTCATCGTTTTAGGACATCTTATGATAGTTATCAAATGTGACCGAATTGAATTTGATCATATCTGATTGAAGCACTCTATTCGATAAACATCTCAGTTCTATCGTACATCTTTAATGAGTTGACTAAGAATTTTTAATGCTACTACTACTACTACTACTACTACTACTACTACTACTACTACTACTACTACTACTACTACTGTGGTGTGTGCTACTTATACGAACGATATAAGTAGTATAAGAAGGAACGTGAAAGAAGAAGTCGCACGGTCAGAAGAGGAAAACGGAAAGCAAATGGAGTACCAACAGGAAGGAAAGGAAGCAACAACAGGAATGGAAGAAGGATGGAGTATTGGAAGTCACGACTCAAAGGTGGTGTGCAAACAGAGTATTCAATGTAATGTTTTCTTTTTTAACTGACTCGCAAGATTCGAACCCAGGACCTTCGGTCTTGGGTGCGAACGCCTAAACACTAGATCATTGAGCCGGCATCCAAAGGTGTTAATGTCTAACTCTGATCAATCTAGAGATTTTGTGCCACCTCAGCCATATGTCTTTGGTAGTTACTGCCTACTCCCGACAGAGTTGAACTTCACTGGTCACGTCTTCCTACTAGTGTTCCGAGAAGTTCCTCACGAAGCTAGTCACTAGTAAGTCATTGATGCTCATCGCTGATGAGTCACATGCCTGAACAAAACGGCTGTCCAGTACTTCCAGATTTCTTATGGTGGTCTAACGATGACTGACTGATGATTTCAATGTGTAAAGACACTAATCTCCATAAATCTAATTGAAAAAATAAATAATTTAGAAAATGTTTAATCGTAACTGAAAACTCATCACACAGATCTTCCAATTGGTTTCTGCGCTAAACTGTGAATTCAATATTCATCATAGTATAAATCTAGATAGTTTAAAGTTGAACGACATGTTGACATTCTTGATGCTGTTGTAATATAAGCAAACAGACTTGTCATTTACGTATTTTATTTGTACAGATAGTGTAAATCCATTTTAATGATGGTTTAATTCTATCTACATACTATAATATTGTGCGAACATTCCATGTACCTAAATAAATATTTGCTCTGCTCGTCAGAAGGGGCGTTGGCCTCATAACGTCATAACTCTTCTTCAAATGCAGACTTTTTACCTCCGAGGGTAGAGTGTGAATTAGATTTTCTGGTTAGCATCGTTTTTAGCAAGTTATAGTTCTGAGGGATTAGGTCGCCAATGCCACGCCCAATCTTCCTCCTTTAAACAGGCTCGGGAGCGGAGGTAGCCACGCAGCGGCTCCAGAAAGAGTTAGTTCTCTGAAATATTAAGAGAATGAAAATATATTATCGATGAGTTCAGTGTAACGTAACTCCTTGTATCTAAAGGTGAAAGAAGACCAATGAAACGTGATTCGGGTTTCAGCGAACTAGTCATTCTTTTTGCTACATCCACTGTGCTCGTCAGTGAGGAT